ATGTCCTTTTTGAAGATTCTTTTTTATACACACTTTTGATAACATTTAGATTTGCCAAAAAATTATAGTTAAAAAATTATAGTTATCTTGATGTTTTATCATTCGATCTTGAATCTTGATTGATATTTCTTCTATATTATTATTATTTTTTATGTTCGTAATAAAAAAAATGGATCCTACAAGATAAGTCAGTTGTTTATGACTAACCGAAAGGTTCAATATCTATAATAGGAGATTTGGAGATAATTGAATGGCACATATAAATTGAAATCACATATAGGTAGCTTTTTGTGTCGTTCTGAATTCTGAATAATTACTGTACTAAATTTTTCACGTTTTCTTACTTTTAACTTTTAGTTTGCTTATATTTAATATGTAATCTTGATATTTTTATACAACATTTCTTAAGATACCTTTTAAAGGATTTAGAAAAACTTGCTGAGTAAATTCAGTAGCTTAATGTATTTTGTGAACGATTTTGTGGAAACATAGATAGTGGTAATCTGTTTCAGGGGTTACATTGCATGACATCTTCCTCGTAAACAGTAGTGTGTCGAAACTTCATTGATATTTTGACAGATGCAAAACATCAAATATTCAACTGATAAAATGGGAAAAAAAGAAAAATCTCTTGAAAGAAAATGAATTATATCTGGTATTCCAAGTACATGTAACGCCTTAAGAGATAATGAAGTTATGAATGTAATCTAATCTGTTATTTTTTTTTTTTTTTTTTTTTTTTTTTGGAATTGAAAATAATGAAATATGCTTCACCTCGGTCAAAAGTAATGTTTTTGGTCAATGCCAAACTACATTGAATACATAAATTAAGACGTTTATCAATATACATCGGTATAAAAACAGTAATAAAGCCTTTAGCAAATTCAGAAACAGGGCAGAGTCGAGACGAAGTGCAACAGGTTGAATTGATCATGTGCCTTCAAGGATATTTCATAAACAGGTGATTCATATTAAACTAATATAAAACTTGTATTTCATTTTCGTAATGAAGACAAAAAAGAGATCTGTTTTTATCACTTATGAAATGATATCCACCAATGGCATAATTTAGAATGTGTGGATGAGTTTGTATCCATTAATGGCATACCTGTGTCTTTATTCAACAACAGTGATGCAAATAATGATACAAACTTCACTTATGATACTAATGATATCATTTACACATGGCGATGTAAATCAATTTATGAAAAAAAATATATGGCCTATAAATCAACCAAAAATATAAAACTTTTATAGATATACCATAAATGGATTAATAATCATCCACTTCTGCATAGCTTACATCATCAGTGATTTTTTTAACATTTACGATTACAACTTAGTGTTCAGAAATTAAATCACGTATAAAAGATTTTATTTTAAAAAAATTCGCAATGAGATAAATACGTATCTATTTCTATATTTTTAATGAATTGGAAATTTTTGCACCTTCTGATGTATAGATATACTACTTCAATGACGCGGGTAGGTTAAGGCTTCCCGTAGAATATCACAGTGCACTCTGTGCCTTCACTTCTCTGAACTACCAAAATATGACGTCATAATGGAAAATGACGTCAAGTCACTGCCAACTTGAGGTGTTATGACGGGGAGAGTGTCATGAACTTTACACTTTATTTCAAACTGCATGTAAAATGCTAGATAACTATTGCAAAATTTACGGGCGGTTAAAAGTTTTTTTAAGTCTTATATGTCCGAATATTTTAAAAATACATTTGCTATTTTAGAATAGACGATTTTATCCATTTTTTTTTTATATGTTAGAAATATATCAGTTCTCCGTTTTTACTGTAATCATGAAGAGATGAACGTTTCACAATGTTTCGATAACACTTTTACGCTTCAGAGCATATAGCTGTTTTCCTAAGATCCCTTAAAATGATCGATGATACCTGTCTTTTTTTTTATTTTAACTTTTGAATTATAATTTTGAAATAAATTTTAAGGTTTTACGAAAGAAAAAAAATTGACAAAACATGGTAAGGGGATTGCAGATGATAATTTCCTGTATATTTATTTTAAAAAGTTCACGAACTACATTTATTTTCACTGTACTCAGGAGTCACTCTGAGTAAATTCATATTTGTATATTGTAGTGGCAGGCACAGAAACAGAAACATAAAACCCTGATTTCTAATGAACGTAGGAAAAGCTGTCATGGTAGGGCACCTGTTAAAGTAACGTGATCCTGGTTGAATTGACAAGTATATAAAGTATGATTATCAATACAATAAGAAACAACCGACCAAACAAATAATTATGGAAAGATTGTTTGTACTTGGATTGGTATTGGCCATTGTAATTGTACGGGTAAGTAAATGTTGTTTACATTCTTAAACCATCAAACGAATAAGCATGATTTCGTAACCGAAAAGATTTATTCTTTTGTAATGATTTTTCATTGTTTATCAACGAGCAACGCACATAAACTTTCTACAAATATTAGCTTATTTCGGTATAGTTTGTACATTTCTAAATTTATTTCTAAAAGATTAAGGAGTGGGTAGAAATTAGTATCGAATCACATCAAACAAAACAAATATGAAATTATCAGTAAAAAAATTCTAAGTTGATATATAATCATTTAAAATTACTCCATCACTTTATTTTAGACTGACGCTAACGGACAAGAATATCTTCCTCGACCTCCAGGTAGGAAATAGTGCGCATCCGTTTAATATCAAAATGAATAATTGGAACTGTTTTTAATACGATTCAGAAAAATACAGTTAAACTCAAACTGTGGAATCTGGAATGTGGAATCTCTAGAACAGGCCCCAAGACAATTAACTGAGAAAAGATTTAAGTCAACATTTTAATTTTGAATATCTTGAATTCTAATTAACATATGTGCATGAAAACTTGCAGGTTTGTTAATTCCTAAATTCATACACATGTTCAAAATTTCGTTTAAGTATCGACATTATTTTAAAAATTATATTGATTTGAAATTTTGACTTAAGTCTGTTCTCAGTTTATGGATATAAACCATATTGTGAAGAGTTATGAATTACAAAGAAATATAACCTTTTTGCATGCGCATAATTATGTTCAATCAGTAATTTTTGACATATTTGATACACATAATAAAAGAATCGGGTATAATACTATTTATTATAATTTATCCTTTCATCAATTTAGGACATTCAATCTGTAATTTACCTCCTGATACCGGTTTGTGCAAAGGCTACTGTCCCCGGTATTACCACGACTCTAAAACGGGCACCTGCCAGAGGTTTATCTATGGATGTTGTGGGGGAAATGCAAACAATTTTCGAACAAAAGAACTCTGTAACAGGGTTTGTAAAACGAGATGTAAGCAATGGTTCTTTATTATTTTTTTGCTTTGAATTTCAGTGGAGCATCAAAAGGATTTCACTTTAACCTCTAATAACATTTTCAATTACAAAAAAAAAAAAAAAAAAAAAAAAAAAAAAAAAAAAATTATGGTGTAGAAAGAAAGTGAAATCATTTTGAAAATACAAGGGCAAGCATTTAGTACATGCACATACACGCATATAGCAAATGTTTTTTGTATGTGGAAAATGATGGGTTCTGTTGTAGATGTTTATCCATCGATTTCAAAAGTGCTAATTTACTTTTGCAAAAACAAGAAACTACCCGAAACGCTTTAGGTTTAAAGATGTTAACAAATGATGATATCTATTGATCTTTGTTAAACATTTTTATACTCATATAGTAAAACCTGTCTAAAGAGATATACACTTTCAGACAAAGAAAACTGAACAAAGAATAATATCGTAAATCTAGAAATTTTTGCTGTAGATAAATTTTTAGCAAATTTGCGCGTGCATTGCATTCGCAAAAATATATTTCTTAAAAATAAATCAACAACAAAGAAATGAAAACAGAATTTTTTGCTATTTTTTAACAAGATGAACAGGTGTTCGTAAGCAGTGGTCATTTTAAGAAATCTGTTTATTCTACAACCTAATTACCCGTGACAATCCGTGCGTAAGACTGCCTTCACTACATTCAACATCGTCCGATGGTTTGACAGGCATTTTGTCTCTTTTTAATTATTTCTCTAAGAAAGAGAGGCCAGTTGTTTTATCTAAGAACAAATGTTTTTATCTGAAGGTTAGTTAAAGCCGACATCTTTTTATATATATTTTTGTACATGCGTGATTTATTAAAATGTTATGAAAACTTTAGATGTTTTATCTCTTAAATTCTACTACTTTTATCTGATTATTGAACATGGGCATTGTTTAGTATTGTATGTACATGTGTAATTTATTGTAAGTACATGTATAATTTGTAATCCTATAATTACATGTTGGCATCGTTTAATATTGTATGTACATGCATAATTTATTGTGCGTGCTACATGCGTAATTTATAAACTGCTATGAAAATTTTAAGCGCTTTTTAATTTTAGCACCAATTTCAATTCGCAAAATTTTGAAACGTAAAAATTAATCAACAGCTTTTTGACCCCGATTCGCAAAAATAAATCGACGTAAAAATTTCCAGATTTACGGTATTTGTTTATTTGTTTGTTCGTTGTTAAACGTCCTTCTCGGGAATTTTTCACTCATATGGTGACGCCACCACTTGCCGGTAGAGGGCTGCAAATTTAGACCTATACTCGGCACTCAGGATCATTGAGCAGCGAGGAATCTTTTTCGTGCCAACACATACTGCAACACGGGACCTCGGTTTATATGATCTCATTGGAAGGACCGGTCTTCACGTCCCACAGTGGGATTCAAACCCGCGACGCAAGGATCAGCTCCTTACTCCGCAACTCTAGAGAAAACGCTTGCGACACAAAGAATAATGAAAAAATAATAAAGTTGGTATGAGATTATTGGTCGAACTTCCTAGCAAAATAATTTCCACAGTTAATGAAAAAATAATAAAGTTGGTATGAGATTATTGGTCGAACTTCCCAGCAAAACAATTTCCACAGTTAATGGATTATGCAGTTTAAACTGCACTTGTTTTTTTTTTAGTCTGTCCTGCAATAGCCTGTCTTATTGGACCTTGTACTTCTCAAAAGTGCCCAGCCTTTCCCGAGGCCATTTGCGTGTAAGTAAAATTTAAACTATTAATAGATTTATAAGCTGGTTAATGATTTTGGCCTATTTGTTTTATTTATATCGCTGTTTTGTATGTTCGGACAAAATTAAAACTGTTGTTTGCTGTTATTTAGATTTTCATTTTAAAATCATACAAGAAAAAAAAGCTATATCTTAGGTACTGAATTGAATGCATCCTTTGACACTGAACTCTTCCACCACTGAGAGTTAAACATATCTTTTTTTTTTTTTTTTTTTTTTTTTTTTTTTTTTTTTTTTTTTGGATACATTCCATGCATAGTGTTAATTTCAATTATCAATTTTAAGAAGAAAAATCAAATTAAAAAAAAAAAGTCAAAAGACGCAAAATATATAAAACTTTCGATATATGTTAAAGTTCTTTGGATCATCTTTTAGTATATTTCATAAAATTATGATCTATGATATTTGTTGCAAGTGCATTTTCAAATACCTATAAATAAAAAATTTAAAAAAAAAACAACCCCTGCCGTTTATATATATATATATATATATATATATATATATATATATATATATATATATATATATATATATATATATATATATATATATATATATATATATATATATATATATACAATATCTTTCTGACAGGGCTGTTTGTCCTTGTATGTCTGTATGGATATATGACGGAGAGGATGTCACTGACAAGTGTAATAACAAAGGCTAATCAACTCACAGGGAAACGAGGCAGGAAATTTGAATTATGTCAGTTTGAAATAAAATATCTCTTTGATCAAATGACTCCTGTGTACTGGAACTAAATAACTAAAATGCAACCATTTTAATGAAAGAACTATATATGGTAAGGGCGTATTCCTGCCCCCATAATAGTCAAATTTTGAAAATCTCTTGAAATGAGAAAAAGTGCATATATTGTATAAAATAATCCAAATTAAGACAATATATTATGAAATTGGAAAAATTAGCTGGCTTTTCTTGTCTCTGTGACGTCACAAACTATTTGGATTTCCGTTATTTTTAAAATAGAGGCCAAAATGCACAGAGTTTGTTCAATTTTGACTATAGTATTTATAGAGCGCAAGCTTGCTCAGGTATCATATTCCCATATTTCATTGATATTATCATTCTACACATTATATCAAAAGATCTAGTCTGAGCAGACCTGCGCTCGATAATTTCCAATCAAAATACCGACGTAAAATACGCTATTTTCTCTCAAAATCATTGCAATTTGGAATTTTCGTCATTTTATTGACGTCATATCTAACTAATGATGTCATAGTTGATAAAAATATTTAATGCTTTGAAGTCTGCAAATATCCACCTGGTTTAGAACATAATTAAAGATTTCTCCATCAAAGTTTTATTTTGGGGGCAGATACTGGCCACTACAGAATATAGTCCTTTGTTGGGTTTTAAAAAAGAATAGAGAATACATCTTTCTTTTCATTATCTATATCCATATATATTTTATTTTCAGTATCTATATGCGAATCTACTTATTTGGATAAGTATTTCTTTTGAAGAAATTTCTGTCATTTTTCATTCTTTTTTTTTTTTACAATTCAGAACACATCTGTTGCAAGCGTCTAGAACTGGCCATGGTATAATTTTTGTTATAGTAATGTTTCGTTATTCTTGGTATATATCTCATTCTATTGTTTTCCTAAATTACTTGGGACACCCTGTATTTTTCGTAATTCTGGTAAATGTCTAATCAAATAAGGGACAGTCTCCATAACAGATCATAAAGAGAAAACCCAATTGTCAATTGAATACTTATAGAAGAGAGGTAGAGAGAGTAATTTTTTCAAGTAAATTCATTAATTTACATTTCAGATTATTAAACACGATGTGGAAAAAGGTAACGCATGTTTCGCCTCGGTCAAAAATGATAATTATAGTCAATGTCAAATAATATTAAATACCTAGTTTATAAAATGTAGAGCTTTACACCAGTATCAGTAAAACTGCAATGCGGCCTTGAGCAATGTCAGAAACAGGACAGAGTCCAGACAAAGTGCAACAGGTTGAATATACAAACATCGGGAATCATCAAGGATGTAAAATAAACAGGTGTTTCATGGGAAAATAATATGGGAACTTGTAGTTTAGTTTTATAATGTAGAGGATAAATAAAAGAGGGGTTTGTTGTCACCACATGTTCGTCTCCACCTTTGGCTTATATAGAATATTACATACTAAAAATCATATCGTATTTTATATAGAAAAACAATAAACATAATTTATATTAGCTCCTACGACAAATATTGAGGGTCATTTAACTTTTACTAATTGATTGGCAAAGAGAGTTTTCCAAAATATTATTGAATTTGGCTTTGATGAGTAGAATGATTTATTATGACGTAATAATACCTTCAAGTTGGCAACTTTCAAAAAAACCTAACATCAGAATAAGGAAAACCAGGTAACACTATCATAGCAACCTAAAGATCAATGTGTACATAATACATTGGATACAAATGAGTTGTTGAATGATAACGAATGAAATCATAATAACATTTTATTAATTTGTTTTGTTTTGTTTTTTTTTTTTTTTTCTGGCAACATTAATTATGTTAGCCCCATTGGGCCGAAAATATTGCCTCCGCTCATTGTCGGGATATATTTCCGTCCGGTAGAGGCTAACATCATCAGTGTTACCATCAAAACCGGTCAATATTTGTATATTATCATATACTAAGTAGTCAATATATAACAGGGTTTGGTTTATATAAAAACGCAGCCTGTTGAGGGTTCTGGACAAGATTGTATTGATACTTAAAGGATGGAATCAATCAAAAGTATAATGTAACCTTGCAATATAACAAGTGTAAATATAAGCATAAAAATAACACAATGATTGTCAAGGGAGATAATTCCTTATACATATAATATACATATTTTTCTCCACAATTTAATAATAATCAATTCTTGTCATAAAATCTTACAATAATTGTTATCATAATATACTTGAACATTACAAAATACTGAATAATCCTAAAATCATTATATGCATACCATTCTATGGGAACAGGCGTGTAACTGCTAAATACTGTATATATACAAAGCATACAGTCTCAGAGTGATCAGTAAATTAATTATCCAATATTACATACCAGATCATAAAATTATGTTACCTAAAATATATAACAACGAGATCTTTCCATTTTCATCATACTTCAAAATATCATTTTCACTGATCTCATTTCTTCAGGGAAAGTATTTGCTTGGGAAATATATTAAGTGTGCAAAATTACAGATTGGACATTTAATTGAAATATTAGAACCATATTAATATTAGTAATAAATAATTAGCTTACCAAAAGGAGAAGAAAAGTCAGTCTCTAAATTAAAAATGTCATTTTGTCAATATGTCAGACAACCACACATATAGACATCATAACTGACCAAACTCTGAGCAAAGAATGTCCAGAAAAACAAGAACCTTCTGGAGGGGAAAACATGAACTTATTTCCAAGTAAAATAAAAAGTAAAATACCAATAAAATTAAAAGAAACATCCAACATTAGGCCTGGATATAATTAATGACTTAAGACCATTTTTATCTATATACACCTATTGACAGACCATGTGTGAATGCACACAAAAGGTTTATAAACAAAATAATTATATTATTCAATATGTGCATTTTAAATCAAAATGAATATGACATATGACACTTATCATACATGTACATAACACAAACATGTATGCAAAGAAAAATTAGTAAAATATGCATCTACCACAAATACCCCGATTCCACACGGTGAGAAACGGGTTACGTCACAATATCCCATGTCAACGACGGGTCCGAAATCAAACACGCGTGCAAAAATCCTTATTAAACCGGAAATTACATAAGTATAAAGATAAAAAGTTAATTAACTTGATTTAATTGAAATAGAGTTATAATATATAATTCTTGTACTAAACTTTGTCGACTTAATTTATTCTAAAATATTTAAAATTGTCTCTATTAGATTTTAAAGAAAAGGGTAATTTACATGCACGAAACATTCTAAAATGGCTTTATTAAATATTTTGAGTATATGATAAAGAGAATAACACATACTAAAAGCCATATCATAAGTCACATCAGCCGTATATAATATTCTCTATTTAATAGATAGCTTAACGACCATTGATCATATAATTGTATTACTGTAAATGTATCATATTTAGCGTGTACGATATTTAGCGGAAATTGTATTTTGAACAAGTTAGCGTGGATTTGATTTAGCGCATTTCTTCATGTTCTTATTTATGTATATATGTGCAACACATTCAGCGTTGTACTTGAATTAGCGGAAGTTTCTTTCCGCCAAAAGCGCTAAAAAGAATATACAGCTAAATGTAATACATTTACAGTATTAATCGACCTCCATACCGACAAAAATTGATACTACGTTCACGTCTTATAAAAGCTGTATCTTGTATGGATGGCGATTTCACATATCTATGATAAAAAAAAAAAAAACAAATATTTCCAATAATGCACGTTCGTCAATCGTTAATGAATTTATATAAATATGTCATATCGATACAAGCTCGTCCATTAATGCATCATTATATCGACAGTGAATTGCGTATCATTTATGATTATACCCCTAAGCTTTCGTGGCGAAAAACAGGGAGAAAAAAATTTTGTTTAAAAATGCAATCAGCAAAATGATACGGTAGTCCAAGTCTGGAATTGAAATGATAATCATACCGAATAAATTATATCTGTTAGGTGTAATTTTATGAACAGATACAGTTTTGGGAACACCTTAAGATCTTGCTGGATATAGTTCATCCGGAGGCAGGTGTTATTTCGTTATTATGCTGTTTCATCTATAGAATATGTATATTGTAGTATAAAAATACTAATCTTACTTTTCTCTTTTAATTTATTTGTTTTTAAGAAAAATTTGGAGAAGAGTATCTCTTAAAGTAAGCATTATTCAAGTTGGATGGCCTTATCGATTCAAATGGAATCATAGACGATTTCCTATCGAAGTGCACAACCCTAGTCATTCATGAGGATTTAATCTGGCAATTTTTGAAAACAGATTAGAGTACTGTACCATTGATTTTATATTTTCTAATTGAAAATATATAATTATCAAGCTACGGTAAACTTCGATTACTACTACTCGATCGTGGTAGAAAGATTGTAGGTTCATGTATAGGCCCTGAAAAATCAATTTGAAAAAAAAAGAAGAAAAAAATAGGTAGCAACTGTACTTAGAAGTGAACGTTTTTCGGTAATGAATTAAACCGATGACACGTATAACGGCAGGCGTTGACAAGATTCCCCATAGATCAATGGCGCTGAGTATGGAGAGTAAAACTTTAAATTTGTCTTTCTTCATCAGTATAAAAATCAGTATAAAATGACATCTCATATGAGTAAAAGATCTCGCAAGGGACGAAAAGCAAACATCAAGGAACCTTCGATTATTTTACGATGGAACAGAACAAGGTAAAAATCAATATTGACAAATTGTAATTATATCGTTTTTAATAAGCATTGAAGCATATATTGTGTCTTTGCTAAAATAAATTTCTGATGTATAAGGTATTTCCAGTATAAAACAAATGTTGGAATGAGTCATATTTGTAAGTCCTCATCATTCAATTGATTTTTTTTTTTTTGGAGACACAATATTCTGAAGGAGTTGCTCTAAAATTTTGATAATTTATTTCTTTGAAGCTGTTTTCTCATCATGAAAATAAATCTACATTTTATCTCATTTCCAAACTCATTATTAATTTAAAACTTAAGAATGTAAGACATGTTTCCATGTGCTGAAATGAAAATGTTGTAAAACAATGACATGTACGATTCTTGATCACTAATACAGCAATAACCAATTTACCTTCAACATGCATGATTTGCTGAAAGGTTGCGACCAAATTATTTTTAACAGTTAAAAATGAAGCATGAAGTAAAACTTAAGGACATACGCAACGTACCTTACCTACTGATAATTTTTCAAGATATTCTTCATTTAAGATTATAGTGCCTTCAGATGTTCATCAACAAAAAATCGGCATGCATTACCGGGGGTTTTAAAAAGATATCAATTGATGAAAATTCCTGTATTATTTAAAGAAAAATACACAAAAATTACTGAACATATATTCTAGATGTTTTGTTTATCCAAACTTGTTTTAGAAGAAGTGAACAACAGCATATATAGACTTAGAAATGTAGCACTCAATTCCTTTAAGTTGTGGAACTCTTCAACTCCAGTGAAAAAGGCAATAAAGTTCAAACTACATTGCGTATGTCCTTAAGTACTGAATTCAGTTGAATTTTAGCACAATTAAATTTTTGTTGTCAACTTTTTTCTAAGCGATTACTGGTCATAAATTGCAAGTATTTGTAAACGTATAAAACATTAGGCTACATTTTACGGCATGAAATAATTTGACTTTTTATGAGCGTGTGTCATCAGCCATACATTCATCTCCGATTCACATGCTTTAACTACACTTTTAGCATAGAACATCATGCTTTCCTATGAATGGATCACAGTATCGGGCAATAAGATATAATAAGCCTTTGTAGTATCGAATTCTATAAGAAGCATTATGCTCTTCATTTTCAATCTTATACTATTTTTAAATTAAACATGAAAGCACTAAATCAGAGAAAAATAAGAATAGGGGTTCCATTCGGCATTCTTGGTAGCATGGTCTAATTTTTTATAGTATAGCCATACACGTGGCTTCTGCCCACAGATGGAGGCTTACCGGTAAGTTAAAGCAGTAATTCGACCAAAAAAACATATTACATTTTATTATGTATCGCTGTTACATATTGTAAATCAACACAAAACACATGTTTTATGCGTTCAGTTGTAAACGAATTTCTTTTCAATGCTGATCCATGTCTTTGATATAAAGCTTTATATGTATTGCCAGCCCCCTTCTATTTATTTGGAAGGAAATAAACATGATGTTTCTGAGGGTCTTTTTCTTGCTTTGGGTAAGACACAGTCCCTTACTTTTCCTTAACGGATAATTATTTCCAATATTTTAAACATATTTTTATCAATCTACTTGGGACATTGAAATATATATCTTCCTGCCAATTCATTTTTTTTTTCATCGATATGTTTATGTATTTTCATGTTTTGAAATATTTTTCCTATAGGTTATTGCCGTGGTACACGGACGTTTTGGGACTTTTCTGCATGGTAAGAGATTTTCACTCCTCTGGTTTTCTTGGTACGAATGACGCATATATAGCTGGTAAAAACTTCATGATATTAAAAACAGTCGTATTCATTTTCAATTCTCAATAGATAAATTTACTTTTAAAAAAGGTTGTTTTTTTTTTTTAAATAAAAAATTTGAACCGTTTTAAGGATTTCTGACGGTTGTACTTATTCAGAAGGTTGCTGTTTTTGGTAGGAATAACGTCATTGGCTTTTGATGACGCCGGGAATGAAACATCAGCCAATTAAAAGTTAGAATGTGTAATTATTTAGAGAGGATGATTTCTTATAAGCCACCCACGAAATAATTACATGTAGTTTTTGGCCTGTTTGTTTGTTAAAGGTTGAACTCTTTAACACAGTATAAATGCAGAATCGCTGATTTATAACGTTATATGCAGTTTTCATTTATGCAACCCCTGGGGCGAATTCTTTATGTTTGAATGTTCCAAGTGATGTTACAAAGAGGTGATTAATATTGAAGTTATACATTTTGTTAAGTTTCGAAATAAAGTATCTTGCACCAATAAATCTCACCAGGGGGGGCGCGCGCTACATATATAGGCTGTGGGTGTTTGATAGTGCACCCTCTGGTGAGAGATTGTTTCTCATACGTGTCTTATTTCTGCTGTAGGAACTTCCTGTACAGAAGCCAAAGATCCGGGTCCTTGTAAAGGCTTCTTCCGGAGATGGTACTTCCATCCGTCTGACAACACATGTCGGAGGTTTATATACGGCGGTTGTGGGGGAAATGGCAATAACCACAGATCTTTAAAGAGCTGCCTGGATGCTTGTAATGATGGTAATACATGTTAATCAATATACAAATACTTCAACAAACGTGGATATAACAGATTACAAGCAGTAATCCCAGTCCCACGAATCCTACAAAAATATAATCTTAAAAAGGGCATAATTATGGAGCCCTCAAAACACAAAAGCTGGGATCAGGTGACAAGGAAGAGTAGGCATCCCCTCAACAGGCCTCAGCCTCCATGAGCTCTCTGTTTTGATGAGGTTAAAGGAGTAATTCAGTCAAAATTAGTTTGAAAAAATGGTCTAACATGAAACATTTCGGTCAAAGGGGTTTCAACATCTTGTAGGCAAGGTCAATATAACGACCATAGAATTCACTAAATACTGACTTTATAGGGACGACCAAAAGCCTGTAATATCAACTTATTTGTCAGTAGCCTGCCTCGCTTTAAAACGAATTTTAACTCGGAACATGCTTTGCGTACCGAATCAGCTGGCAGCCAAATAGAACATTTGCTGAGGATAATGAAATAATTTGACATAAAATTTTAATAAGGATAAGGTCCAATATGAGCATTTAAACCGATCGTGTATTTTCATTTTGTTTTAACTTTCCTAAAGGCACGTGTCCATATTGATTTTGTCCAATTTGAATTATCTCTACTAGGCAAAGGCCAAAAATAAAACGGATTCGATAATTATTTTTCTTCAATACACATATCTATTTTGACGGTTGATTTGCAAAGCAGCCTACTAAAAGGAAGTTATTTCAATTTTCAGGTTGTCCAAACGGAACAAACCCAGATAAAGTACGATGCATTGTGGGAGCTTGCACCATTCAAACCTGCCGACGCTATCCGTGGGCTATCTGTGTGTATGTATAGCTTTTGATTCTCTTAAAATAATATTTTGTACCATATTTCGAAAGGAAGAATTTTCAGGAAAAAAAATCAGTAGACGTTAATTTTCATTCTCTTTAGTTCTAAATGTAAACGGGCGTTTTTCCTATAGATCTATGAACCCAAGCAATTTTTTTCTTACGTGATAAAAACGCGTTAATATTGCTTAATGACATTTTGAAAACAGTGGGGAAAAAACTGAGAAAACATATGTATCAACTCATATCATCTTTTAGGGATCTGCTAAAAGTATCAATTATCGAGTTATCCCTCTTTGTCTTAGATGTATAAATTTCTTTTAAAAATTAAATCAGTATTTAGATATTTTTCGGACATATAGCAAGATCAAAGAGAAAGAGAAGAAAACTACAAAATATAGTGAAAATATATTGGAGTCATTTAAAAATATATATATATTTCTTCCCATAAACTGATTAGGGTAATACCAAATTTCTGAAATACTAGTAGTTTCCTGTTGAAGAAAGCAGAGCCGTTATGTGTTAAATTAGTAGGGAGGCAACCTTTTGTAGTCGGTCTAAGAGTTAAAATATAAGGGGTTTTCACTTCATAAGGTTTTATAAATCTGTTTCAATGATCGGCATTGTTGTCAATAGTCTTCTTTTTGAAATAACATTTATTTATAAAATAATGCATGTGTCAATCAATTTGTTTTTCTTTTAACAAACCATAGGTAGCTTTCAAGGACCCCCAATACGTTATGGGAAAATGCTTTTGTTAATTGAGAAATTATTTTGTACATACATGTAGATTAAAAATAGTCATCTTTACCCACAGGAAACAACACAGCATTCATAATAGAATTCACTGTTGCTTAATTAAATGGGTAAAATATATGCAAATAAGTGTTCAATCAATTTACTTTGGTCTGATAAAATGCTAAGAATTCTTCATTTTTTTTTTAAATCAGCATTGCACGGTATATATTTCATTTTATTTTATTAAATATGTAAGTACATGTATTATGTTGTAAATTTTGAATTTCCAAGGTGGAGATAAATACAAAATTTACATTATGTATCATGTTGGTAAAGTTTGCATTTACCTCCATCAAGTAAGTTCAAAATTTACAATTAACATGATACAAGAATTAATTACTCACATTATTTTTAAATTAATATGATTTCATTACCTATTTTTAGACCAAGATGTAACGGATGTATCTCGCGGTTCATCTTATTCGGGAGGGACGTGACGAACAGGTGTCACAGGCGAGTTCCCCTACCCCCCAAACGACGGCGACCGGTGCTTATCGTGAGGAGGCGGAAATCTGGAAATCGAAGACGGAAGCATTTACATAAAAGACGGAAGTATGTGAATCGCAGAGGGAAGTTGGTGGTTCCTAAACGGAAGCCCACAGATAGGAATCTTCGAAGTCCCTGAAAAGTCCGGGATTGATGATATTTTATCAAAATGATGCGTTTGCATGATATAACGCAATAAAGTAATCAGACTGATTTTACCTTTCCTTCATTTTTCAGTATGAGTTAAAGAGAGGAAATCGCATTTAAGCATAATTAACGTCCAAATTTTCTGCAATAATTCTAGTCCCCTTCTTCTAGTCCAATTCTGGTTCCCTTCAAAAATAAGGCTCAGAGTCCCGAGGCCTTTAGAGGATTCTTGGAGGGGGTGGCTGATTTTGGAAGTAAATAATCTATCCTCAAAAATGTTGAAAATAAATATAATCTGTCCTCGATTGGCAAGAAAATAAATAATTTGTCCTTGATTAGTGCTACTACCCCCCCCCCCCCCCAAACGCGAAATAGAGTTTTTGAGTTTGTGCGTTTTCCTTTTTTTTTTTTTTTGGTTTCTTTTTTCAGTGAAGAAGAATATTAAGTAATTTGTGTCCTTGATCATCTTGAAAATAAATAATCCATTCTTAACTGGCATGAAAATAAATAATCTGACTAGAATAATTTTGCCAGCCCTCCCCCCTTCTCAAAATCAAATGGTCGTCCCCTTATCATCGAAGCAAAACGAAATGCAAATTGCATCTATTACTTATCAAAGTACACTGACATATATATTATTATGAAATTCAGCTAAATATTTGCAAGCATGTAGAATAAAAGGTGGAAAACCCAGTGGGACAAATTGTCAGACAAACAGCTAGACAATCAGCAGATAGGGTGAAACCTATAGTCCCTTCCGGTAGGGGACTAAAAATGATAATTTTAGAATCATGCGCTTAGAAAATATTTAATTAAAAAAATATATCAGCGTTATTGAATACTGGATGCCCGTGCTCCGTCCCCTTTAATTTATATATAGTAAACTAAAAAAAAAACTAGCTACTTTATGATTGTGCCCTCTCAATAATAACGTCTGATAACCTTTTTCCCGCATAACTTCCTTGTCAAGGAATTTTTGGTTGGTAGTCCCCCACCCCCTCCATGAAAATGTTTGGTTGCCCCCCCCCCCCCATCCCCCAACTGAAATTGCTTCCTAGGGGCCTGCATTCAGTTTACTAAACTGTTACAGGAAGGTGACTAAATGTCAGAAGTCTGTCATTCAGTCATATTTCCAGATCTTTATGTCAACATTATGTTCACTGACCAGTGCATGCAGTTTCATAACATGGGAACAAATAAAAGGAAGTGAAGTGAGTGTATTACACATGTGCATATGAAGCAGTGTTGTGAAAAATGGACTTTCTCATATACTCCAATAAAACAACAAGAAAGTCTTTAATCAGCAACATTTTTTTCCTCATTTAGATAAAAAAAAATGATAAAATAAAATTCGATCTAGTATCTCATGAGGATGAGGGAAATAAAAAAACTCAGTGACATCTATATTTCCCTTTTCAGATTAATTATACGTATAGATCCTAATATAAAACTGGGATCTATTTCCCTTTTAACTTTTTTTTAAAGTAGTCTGAAAAACTCGAATATTTTATGCTTAAGAATGCATTGCATTAATGAAATATCGATCTCCTTTTCTGTGTATATAGTCGTTTGTTCTAGATCTGCTATACGCGGATCCATGTATGTAACAACTTCTTTTTGAGAAGAGAAAAGGGTAATTCTTATGTATATTCAGTATGCATGTAGTAAAAAAAAAAAAAAAAAAAAAAAAAAAATCACCTTACATACCAGACTAGACCCCTGCCCCATACTTTACCCCTTTACCCACTGGACGTACCCCCCCCCCCCGTGATCCCTAATCCAATCCCTTCCATTTATATTGTGCAGTCATTCTGTTGACACCTGTAAAGAATGAATACGCCGAATATGATGCCAATATTTTTAACGTCTAAAGGTGTGTAATACTTAGAAAATTACACTGCAAGCTATAAAGAATTTCTTAACCGTCTTTTCGTATAAAAAGTTTCCAGTTAAATGAAGCATAAATTGTACATGAACATTTGGATTAATTTTGTTATATGAGCACACGTGTTCATTGGTAAGTGACATATGGGCGGTTTAAACAGGACTGCCTTGCTAACGCTGACAATTAAAATTCATTTTTTCCCCAAATTTGTCTGATTTCAATGATTTATAAAATATATCTTTCATAAATTATATTGTTTTTAATTTGTTTCTTACTACAGAAATAAGTTGTGTTCATTCATATTGTATATTAAATATATTTTTAAGATGAAAACTAGTATGTTCATATATGCATATGTATATATATACATATCTTGATGGGCTTGTGAAAATTAAATAGAAGATGTACGAAATTATTAAAAAAAAAGAGAGAGAGAGAGAGATGAGATTCAAATCAAAAGATGAGAGATTTTCACCTGTCATTTCCAACGTGATAAAACATTATATCGCCGGATTCAATGATTCGTTATATCATTTATCTCGACACAAGTGCATACGACTCTTTGTCAACAGAAGTACCTGTACACTGCTGGAGATGAAGTATTCTGTACTCTTTATCATGAAGGTATGTTTTATTTTAATCTTTAGAGTCGGTATTTCAGTTAAATGTTGTCCTTATTTTTGACCGATTTATCTTTGGACTTGGCTGAAATATATATCATATTTAGGACAGTTATCATGTAAAGATTTCATGTAATGACACATGTTTAAAAGTCAAGTGTACATCATTACAATAAACATATACTTAAAGTTTTAATGACCCTCTTTAAATAGGCACACCCAAACTTTTTTTGTGAAATAAGCACACACACACACACACACACACACCCTCACACACACACACACACACAAAGAAACAACCTGTAAATTCATTTTTTTTTTGTGATCTTTTTAAAGGTCTGCTGCTAGAATTTTTTTAAATCTAAAATGTGGAAATTATGACTTTAAAAATAAAAATCGGTTCAGAGGAAGGGGTAAACCTCCCGGACCCCTTCCCCCGCCATCCCCTTTCCGGAAACCTGGGGAAGGCCCTGCAATAATGGTTCAGACGAAGGGGTACCCCTCCCAGACCCTCCCCGCATTCCCTTTCCAGAAACCTGGGACTGCCCTGCAATAATAAAATATAATTCTAGGAAATGAGAAAATTATAGTAAAAATATATAAATAAATGAATAAAAGAAAACCATAAAAAAAAAAAAAAAACCATTTAAAACAAACATACAAACAAATATACAAAAAAACAATAACTTGCTATATTAAGTTTCTTCTATTGCAGGTTTTTCTCTTCTTTTATTTTTGTGTTTTGGTGAGATCGGCAATATGTGAGTAAATACATAATATGTAGTAACAAACATGAATATCAGCACCCCATCAATTTCAGTGTGTTCGTGAACCATAAAATCCACAATACCCCCCACCCCCACCCCCAACCCAATTCTTTCAGTACGCATGTTAGTAAAAATATAAAATCCGCAATCCTACCCCAACCCTTTTTCATCGCATTCATAAAATATAAACTCCTCAGTGTTCATTTCATGACATATTCTCCTGTGTATTTTGGGAGGTTAGAATGCATGGAGGGTGTAATTTAGATATCGTAAAAAAGATGAAGTACAGATTTTGAAACTTCCTAAACATATGTTTGCAGCGTCGGTGTGTCATCTTCCAAAGGATGTGGGTATGTGTGACGGGTTATGTCCTCGCTGGTTCTACAACTCCCACACGCACAGGTGTGAGGAGTTTTACTATGGCTGCTGTGGTGGAAACGCAAACAACTTTAGAACGGAACAGGAATGTTTGAACTCATGCAATAACGGTATAATGGCAGTCTGAATTCTGATATGATTAAAAACAAATCAACTTGAAATCACGGACAACATTGATCAAATCCAGTTTTAGAAATTTACTGTTTGTGTCATTTTCATCAATGGGGAATTGGTACTAAATTAAAACAAAATTCTTAATTAAGAAATGAGGTATCATTATTCGTATGTGATTTGATCGCATGACCAACCCGTATTTACATAAAAGTATAAAAATTGTACCTTATTTCTGAAGTAATTGACTTGACGATGATTAAAAGGTATTTTTAATTTTTTTTTTTTTTATTTAAAACCATAGTTATATTGATTGACCGTTAAGGTGTGCATGCAAAGTTTTGAGTGTCAAATATCCTTTGCTTTTGTGTTATCATTTCCTGTTTATATCAGGTTGCCCGAATGGTCAATCGAACATATTTTGTAAAGCACCTGCCTGTCAAGTAACGTCATGTCCAAATTATCCCCGTGCCTCTTGCAAGTAAGTACTTTTTTATATAATTACATGAATAAGATATGGTTATGTTACTACAAAGGAAACCTTTTAACAATACAAAAATTAATGCAATACTGTTAAAATATGACGATATTTTCGCAATTCGTATTAATTCGGCCGGTACTTCTAGGGTTCTCCATTCTCGTGTTCACTGTGTGAGTAGATTATGGAAATAGCTTTAGACTGAATGTGTGGATCGTTAGTGAAAAGAAAGAAAAGAAAACAAACAAGCAAACAAACAAACAAAAAAAAAAAAAAAAAAAAAAAAAAAAAAAAAAAAAAAAAACCCACGCATTTTGAGAGGAAAAATGTATACATAGCCAGTAAGAGAAATCGAATGCTGATGTATTTCATTTATTATAGTATGATGTATGTACAACTAAATATCGCAATAAATTTTAATAGGTTAATATATGATATTTTTTGTGAAATTAATCTAGCAATTAATCCCCTCATGTCACAGGCATTTGAACGTATTGCCCACTAATCCATTGTTAAAACCTTGCAAAACACTAGTGCAAAAACTATTAATTTAAAGGGTGAAAAATACAAACTAAAGTTGAAATATATATATTACTCAGTCGTATACAAATTTATCTTCCAGGGAGGTGTGTAACGGTTGTGTGGCCATTTTCACGTCGAATGGGGAAGATGTCACAAGCACGTGTCAGTCACTGGGATACAGAGCTTTAGATGGTTCTTTGATTCTTTGTAATAAAATAAAGCTATAACAGACAAATTTGAAATGAAAATAATATATTGCCTTCTCCTTGGCCAGGGAGAAAGGTAGATGTAGAAAGATTTAGAAAGTAGGGGCAAGCTGGTGTACGTACTTGTGCAGGACCCCCCCCCCCCCTCCCCCGCAATGCCAACAGTTTGTTGGAAGACCTGGTATCAAAAAGCCGTACATAAATATGTTGTTTATGAAGATCTCCAGCATCCTTTTAATATCAACTTTAGACCACTTGTTTGTAGAATCAGAGTGAATTTTCACAAATTTTTTTTTTATGACAACTTGAGATACGAAAATTTCCAAATTCCATTTTTTTTTAAGAAGAATTTGTCTATGATATATATCAAAATGCCTAGTTTTTCATTTATCTCGGGGAATGGTTGCGTGAAGTGTACAAAAGTCGACGTTTTAATTTTACTGACTGAAAAAAGAATACGATTTTAAATTTCCTAAAATTTCGTCTGAACTGAGTTTCTCCTGTAAAGAAAAATTACGTGTCTCAAAATATAGCACAGTTAAATAATTTGTTTGTAAATTTCTTTCTTTAATAACAATAAAGAATCTTAAAGCCTATTATCGATGTTGTAATTTACCTCAGTGGGAAGATTGTACATGTTTTAATACAAGTAGTTTCACCTTGTGTGTAGGGGTTTAAAATCGATCCAAAGTAACGATTTCAGTTGACACCGTTTCAAAATGGCGACGTACGCAAACGTATCGGACGAACGAGTATTATTTAGTCTAAAGGTGTTTATGTTATATGGTAAGTGAGTTTTGTAGGATGTTATTGATAAATAATAGACATTATTGGATTACATTTTTCGTTTTATGCTTATGTTTGTTTTTTATTTAAGTTTACCTCATTAGGTTACGTGTTCAGCGCGATATTTGATTTTGCAATCGGTTACATGGACCTGTAACACTTTACAGTATAGGCATAATAGTAATACACAGATGTATGATAACACGAACTGATAACAAAAACTGTGGCCACGTTTAACATTATCTTTCAATATCATCTGTCATTTTTACGCTAACCTCTGTCTTAACTGTTCATTTTCCTAAATTAGAGAGATTGTTCACTGTTATGTTCAGTTTGACTCCCTTTCCCTATTTAAAATGCAAATCTTGGATACGCCATTGACCCAGTATAATAATGTACAATAATTTACATCAGCTTACATGTAGCATAACATTGTATGATATTTCAGCACATTCAGTGGTTTAAAAAGGGGGGGGGGGGCAACAGGACATGGGTTGAGGCTATTCTCTTTAGAGAAGTGGACAGGCTTTCGCCTACATCCACTTCTCTTCTCAAGCCTTCATATTCTGATTCTGGAAAACGTGTAAATCTCGAACTGGTGACGGTATACACTTCAACTGACATTTCGTCTAAAATACGTCTGAATGTACGTAATAGATGTGTTATATTATCAATTTTAACATAAATACACACAATTGTCACAAGAAAACTGACCTTTAAGTATTGTTAATCCATTTTCACATGTTCTCCATCCCAGATTTAAATTATGTGCAAGTAACTCTTGAAGTATTCTAAAATCTCTAATTCGGATAAAAATGGAAACTATTTTTACAAAATAATAATGAAACTAGAGAAATCTTCTACTCTGTTTAAACTAACGAGACAGTATTTCCTCAAGTTTTGTTCAAATTCTTTTGATCTTTGTTTTAAATCCTATTTCATTTCTCGGGAAAGGTAGAGTTAATATCGCTTAAAAATAAAAAAATATTTTTTAGTACTGTCAGTGAGGAAGTAATGAAGTATTTTTTAAGCTCAAATTTATATTTAAATTGTATTAAAATAGTAAAAATAAGTATAGGTAATAATATTAATTTTGAATAATATGCTAAATCAAAAGTGAATTGTCAAAAACTTTTCTTGAACATTAAAATACGTCTTCGCCAATTTTTCCAAATTATCCGACTTAAAATTTTCAATTTTTTTTAATAAGCTGTGATACATAAACATTAGTTTAAATTTGGGATGGAGAACTTGTGAAAATGGATTAACAATACTTAAAGGTCAGTTTTCTTGTGACAATTGTGTGTATTTATGTTAAAATTGTTAATATAACACGTCTATTACGTACATTCAGACGTATTTTAGACGGAATATCAGTTGAAGTGTAGACCGTCACCGGTTCGAGATTTACACGTTTTCCAGAATCAAAACATGAAGGCTTGCAAAGAGAAGTGGATGTAGGCGAAAGCCTGTCCACTTCTCTAAAGAGAATAGGGTTTAGGCATGTTATGGCTCCCATTGGTTTCATGTCAAATCCAGGTGGGGTCTTGGGGGCAAAGCCCCCAGAAGCGCCCATGTTTTAGGTTTCTTTAAGAACAGTTTTTTGAGTTATTTTAGCTTTATTTAAAAATGTATTAATAGCATTACAAGATTTATTTATTCATTTTTCAAAGGTAAATTTGGGTCAGAAAAGGGAGGAGGGTCAAAATCTACTGCTACAATTCTATTGAACACAGATATTTACAATTATTTACATAACTTCTGTATTTATCCCAGATTTTTGTTTTAAAATACAGATTACAGATGTGCTATTATCAGATCCAGTACAATCAGTACATTTAGCTACATAGCTAAAATTACCTACCGTAGCTTTATTTACCTACCGCAGGTAGCTTTATTTAGCTATTTCAAGGCAACTTTTCACAATTTTGCTTTTTATTTTAAAAAGACAAAAAGTCGCAAGAAAATGTCTACTAATATTTATTCTAGGTATCATTTAAAAAGCAATCTAAAGCAGAGATAATTTTAACATTGCTGCGTTTGATCACTTTTAAGGAAAATATGTATTCCCATTGTTTGAGTATCTGTACACACCTTGTGCGCAATGAGGCGTGGATAAGTATGATAACTTCACATTGTGCTCATGTTAACCAAAACTGGTTTTCTTTGTTATTACACTCAAGAAGTAACTGTTAGGTCACAAATTAACTGTACAGTTGTATATAGCCCCAAAACTTTTAGAACTTTGATTGCAATTGCGCAAAACAAGACACATCTCCAAGAGTGATTTTTTCATGAATTGTTTTCAGATGAGTTCAAAGTTGAAAATTATCACTGCATCAAAGTGCAATTTTCTGCACTTTCTGGGAAAAATTCTTATTTAAGAAATAAGTTTGATTTAGTAGCTAAATAAAGCTACTTCAGGTAGGTAAATAAAGCCATGTACGTAATTCAAGCTACGTAGCTAAATCTAGTGATTGTACCAGACCTGATTATCATCTAAAAGATATCAAATGTCATTAATGTATAATGTATGAAATGATGAAAAGCTCAGATTACAGAGAGAAACCATTTATTAATAAATCAACGAAAATTACAGAATAGGGAAAACAGCTCTGCAGGGTTGTCTCTAAGACCCAGGGGCCGGGGAATTTCCCTGCATTTAATGATGTAATCCCCCGGTTATTTCAGTGTTCCTCCTAAACTCCCCAGTAAGGGAGGAACCCCAGTTCCCCTTCTACTTTTTAAATGTCCCCTTCTATTTCAATTCTTAGGGACAACCCTGGCTCTGCATGAAATAGCTATAAGACTTGTATTATAATACTAATTGTCTGTGTCTGCTCAGAGACATAAATTTATTTCAGTCTTTGGTCTTCTCACAAACATGTAATATAACACAGATTTCCAATCAAAGGCATTTCATAATACCAGCCAGCTTGATAATTATTCTAAACAAATTTAATCCTTAAAAGCTTTTAAATCAATAAATTCTGTGATACAATTGATTTAGATAATAGGGTTGAAGCAAAGGGTTGTGTTTAAATGTCCAGCATTGAACTGACTTTGGAACATAAATATGATCTTGTTGAAATCAGGTGAGCTACAAATTTTTTTAACCATCCGTGTTCATTTATTTATAACATACTATTTGATACTATTTTCAGCTGCCCATTAAAATTGCCTACATCGAGATATTTTTATATTTAAAAAATACACTATAAATTTTTTTGTAATCTTACATTACATGTTATTACTTATTAGTATAAAATGTTTAAAGTTCATTCAATACAGCTGAGCAGAACATGTAATTACAATTTTGTGCAATTTTATTAATTTAAAAAACATGTTAAATACAACATCTGGTTTGGGTTCACCACATATTGTCATGAAAAAGAAGATTTTTAAATTATCTGAATCAGATCATTTATTCAAAACTGTTATCAAAAACATGAAAAAGCAGCAGTGGGGTGTGAAATCTTAGGCTCTCCATGGAATAAGTCCGTTCAGAACTGTTTCAGACCCTGCAATCCCCCCTCCCCCCCCCCCCCCCCCCCACTAGGGAATTTTTTTTTCTCAAAGTTGATTTACAAATTGATATTTTTATTTTGACCTAATTCATATAACCGAGGTGGAAAGCAGATCAATATGGTTCCTCTGACAGTTTTATAAAATTGATCAAACAAATTGATAATTTTTTTTTTAGATCATTTGAATTTTTTTTTTTTTTTTTTTTGAATTTAGAGAAATGGTGTGAATATTACTAAGTTAGTTATAGGTTGAAAAGACTGCTAAAGATATCAAGTAACATATGCATCCTTATTTTTTTATTTTCTGTTTTTGATGCCACTGAATGTATAAACTATTACACTTTGTAGGAAAAATCAATATCACATCATAGACTATTCTTTTTTGGTTTTGGCATGGACAGAAGACTTTTCCTGATTAGAATGCATATTCAGCGTAGATTTCTGTTTTTTTGTTTTTGAATTTATTTCCTTATGATGTTACTGATAATGCTTAATTTGAGTCGAGAAGAACGCTTTTTTGATATGATAGACCAAACTTAACCAACTATTGAACAGGATGTAGATAAATATTTTATAAGTTTATTGATCATCTTGAAGCAATCGATGTTTTCTCTTTTTGTTTGAAATTTATTTACCGTATATGTATAAAGTTATATTTCTGTATTTCCTTGCAGAGTTTCGACATCCTAGGAGATAAAAATGATAAAGACCTCTGAAGGATTTATAAGGATTTAAAAAAAAAAAAACAGATAAAGTAAGCATGTTTTTATTTGTTTTCATTATAAGCTAACAAGATTCACATTATTGCAAAGCAAAGACTGTAGATCTGTGATATGATGATGTCTGACTGTTCATATGTTTGCTTCGACACTTTTCATGGAGTTTTTGCTTCTTTGCACAGGTAACAGCAAAGTTATTTAAAAAATAACAGATTCAGATTTAAAATAACAGATTCAGATTTATAAAATGTGTGTAATTCTGTCATTGGAGTTGACCTTGATCGTTGACCCTTACAGTTATAGATCAGAATCATAAATATTTTCTTTGTTAAAGATGATCTACATTTATTCTTATCATCAACAGTTTTGCTTATCACACAAACTAGGTATTTTTTAATATTATACTTTCATGTAAATTAGTTGAATCTGATTCGTCGAGAAGCATTTGTTAAAAAACACTATGACCCGCTGAATAATGAAGCCACGCCCTCCAGCGTAGCACAGTCAACATTGCTAGAAGACGGGTGATATTCCAAAAAAAAATTGACGACGCAGAATTTATGCATGTTAGGTCCACTGTTATATGTATTTGTATAAAAACATTCAGTATGATATAATAAATATTGCATGTAGTTGAGTGTAACATTGAAATTTTTCACCCCTCGAAAACCATTGTCAACTTTTGGGTGCGCCTTGGTTGACAATGGTTTTCTTGGGGTGAAAATTTTCAATGTTACACTCAACTATATGCAATATTTATATAATATGATTGACAGAGATAACATTGACCCCTTACCTCTGACCTATAAAAGTGGTAAATGAGTATAAAGAAAATGTAATCATCAATCTTTCAATACCTTTATATGTAAACTAGAATAAGATTTGCTTAATATGCTTTTTTATCATGACTGCAGCCTCTAGAAGGATATTCAATGTTACTTATACCAATCTAGTAATTAAAATTAGATATTCTGAGAAGCAGTAGCTGATACAGAACATCTAAATTTATTTAGATTGTACTTTTAAGGCCTCAGTTTATTTGATAAACAATGTTAAGATTTCATCAAATTAGGTTATTAACCTGTGGAACATGTCAAACGCTGAATCAAAGTCATTTTGATAATATTTTAATTGTAATTTATAAAAAGATTACAAAAAAATATGTATGAACCTCAAAGAAAAATTTGCTAGATGTTATGAATGAACCTTCTTTCAATAAAATGTACATTGTTTTTTTCAGGAATCCTCAAATGAACTTAGAGAGTGTAATTACCAGCAAAGATGGAATAGCATCAACTTCTTTCAGATTTTAAAGCAGATTTTCATAGGATCATCTGCATAGAGTGGAATTAAAAATTGCAGTTCTCAGAAAAAAAGGGAATAACATTAACTTCTTCCAGATTTCAGTGCATATTTTCGTAGGAGTATCATGTCTTTCTGAAAGAAGAAGCTCATCATGGGAAAATCAGCTGATTGGCAGATATTCATGAATTAGAATGCACTGTTTTAAATCTTTAAGAATTACTTACACATTAAGGAAGTGAGCAAAATGAACAGATGCTGCTGGTCCTTAACTCCAGTATGGAAGAAATGTTGGACATTTTTCGTACCAGTTTGTGCTTTCACCATTATGGTATATATAGTCGGTTTTAATTATTTTACTTCCAAGAGGATGTATGATTTAAAGGAAAGAATCAGCAATGGAGATGTAAGTGAAAATTATAGATTTGAACCGCCAGATGCTATGAACATCACAACAGAACATACACCCACTCAACAACATCCTTTGTTCATCAATAATACAGAGAATACTGGGGCCTTCCGAAATTCACACATAATGATAAGTACTGGTGTAGGGCGTTTAGGAAATCGTATGTTTGAGTTCGCATCACTTTTAGGAATATCCAAACGTCATAATTATAAACCTATGATTTTGCGCAGAAATACGTTACTTCAGGTTTTTGATATTTCGCAGGTGACTGATTCCGAACCTTTGAACTTGAAAGGTGTCGGGGAAAAGGGGGCGGGGGTATATGACAAATCACTAGAAAATTTAAGTCATGACAAAAACTATTCGTTAGGGGGATTTTATCAAAGCTGGAAATACTTTGATTTCATGAAAGATGAAGTGAAGAAATCCTTCAAGTTCAAATCTGGATTATTAAACAAAGTTCGACAACTGCAGACTTCACTGAATATTGGTGACAAAATTACCGTTGGTGTTCATGTTCGTCGTGGTGACATGGGAAGCAAACGAGAACTGTCCCGAGGATACAATGTCGCCACAAAGGAATATTTTGACAAAGCATTCCAATATTTTCGGGGGAAATTTAAAAACTTAGTATTTCTTGTTGTGAGCGCTGAAATGTCTTGGTGCAAAAGCAATATGAAAGGTGACGACATTAAATTCGTAACAACAGGAAGTGCCGGGGGAGACATGGCTCTTCTTGCTCATTGTAATCATAGCATTGTGTCCACGGGTAGTTTTGGATGGTGGGGGGCTTACCTCGCAGGGGGAGAAGTTGTGTATTATCGAAATTTTCCATCCAGTGGCAGTTGGCTGTCAAAACAATATAACAGGACAGAGTATTACCCCTTGCATTGGGTTGGCATGGAGTGATTTCTGCTGATCATTATCACAAGGAGTTTTTATCCTTTATTTATGCTTTTGTATGTTTTCGAGTGGCTTTTAAGTTTTAATTATGTGGAAAGTATTTATATTTAAGGTATTGCTGCATATTTATTTACTTGTTATTTGTTTAAGAATTTTAATATTTTTCATGATACCTATATATATATATAATAGAGAAAAATCCCATAAGAACATGTAAATTTCATACAGTCCCATAAACTTTCTGATGAATACATTCCATATAGACCAGTGTTAATGATTGTATAAATTCACATATAAGAAATGAATGATATAAACATTCACTATTTATCATGAAGTATCTGTAAATTGTTATCCTGTTTTATCCTGTATTGATCTCGGTCGTAATATATTATGTATCTATGACTTTAAATGACATTCCACCAAAAAGTCTGACATTCTTATCATTTTTGGTAGATGTTAAATATGTGTTACATAAAACTTCTTGTCTCATACAAATCTCTAAGCATCAAACAGTGATATATAATTAAAATCCTTAAGGTGAACTGGTGGTAATGTTTGAAAAATAGGGGGATTTATAGAGTTTATGTGATCTAAGGCTGTGTTTCTTTTAAAGGATATTTTCAAAAGAAATGTACTTCATTATGAAAATACCCAGGTTTAACCACTTATTATGCTAGCCCGAACAAAAATTTACATGCCCAGAATTTTATCAAGTAATTTTATTCTTATTTGCCTTTTCATTTCAAGGAAATGATCCGAAATCCATTTCTATTGATCTATTGTCTCGCCATTTATATTGTTTTCAACCTGTACACATTTTGTGTCTCCTTTGCAAAAGAGTTCCTTAGACATGTTGGAAGTCACGTATTGTTTTAAACGTGTATACTTTTTGTGTCTCCTTTGCAAAAGAGTTCCTTGGAAATCACGGTAGAATAAACTATTGTTAAAATTTTATTTGGTGCTCCACTTTAAATGAAAAATCAGACTTTAAGTACATTTAATGTTATTTGTATTATTTAATTTGATAATACGGAGGCTTAGGCCTCCGAATTTACATGCCCTTCGGGCTTGTAAGTATGCAATTTCCACATGCCCGCTTCCAATTTTACCAGGTCCCGGGCTTCGGACTGCCGGAATTTGTCGAAGACTGCAAATGTCATAACCACCAGAGCTCTCAATTACCTATAATTGGGGCTATTCAAGGGCCCCATTTCCAATTCCAAAAAGGTATGGTTTTTCCCAATTCACAGTCAGGGGCTTAATGCAAACAAGTTATTGTCAAAAATAACTCAAATGAGTTATTTTTTTGTCCCAGTGAGTTACCTCTCTTTGCTATGACCTACATGTACTTTTTCCCAGCATTGGTAACTCAAACACGTTATCTTAAATTTCCAAAATAGTTTCAATGAATAACTTGTTTAAGTTATATTGTGTCATTCCTCCCTAACTTCACACCTTGTGCACCAAAGGTTTTTGCTCGTGCACCAAGACAAAAACAAATGTTTGATTAAATTTAAACCTTGCTCAATCCAGAAAAAGTCTTCAAAGTCTTGGGAAAATTGGGAAAAGTTTTTGATTTAATGATAAAAATTGGACATATAAACCATGTAAATAAAACCACAAAATAAGGATTAAAATGCTGTTTATCTCCACCTCCTCACCAATTCTCTATTCCATCTAGTATTACATAATGGAATCCAAAAATGCAATGCATATTGGCAGGAAATACAAAACTCCCAAGAAATCAATGTCAAAGTAGGATATAAAAATAACTTATTTTAGTTATTATTAAAAAAAACTTTTGTGTGTGTAATAGGAGTGAAACGGTTCACCGCGGTATCGATTCACCGCGGTATTTTTTCTCGGTTTGATACACGGTGCAAAATCTCTAATTTTCGGTTCGGTTCATTTTTCGGTCAGAATCGTTATTCAGTCGGATTTGGCATAAGGTAAAACACGTTACTCAGTATAAATAAGTATAGAAAACGTAAATTTTTGCTGACTGATAGCTTGTAAAATAATTTTTGACAGTCAAATAATTTTAATCAATTTCTTCTAGTCAATTTGCAAATAAAATTCGTAAAATATGTGACTAGATTTAGAAAAAGAAAGCATAAAACAACGTTGAATTTGTTTCCTTCTATCAAAATGTATCGTATCGAAAATAACCGAACCGAGACAAAATTATACAATACGTATCGAACCGTGAAGGAGGTGTATCATTTCACCCCTAGTGTGTAAAATAACTTATTTAAGTTATTTTTCGGATAACTTGTTTGAGTTATACCCCTGACTGATTAAGAATTGAATGTGTCAATTTTTCCAGTAGTCTTTCTCACAAAAAATAAAGAAAATATAGTTGGAGATATGTAATAACTTGTTTTTCATTTTCTTCTGTATTGCAAAACAAAAATTTAGTTGATAACAAAGATCAGAGACCTAATATGATTTTTAAGTTTAATGATTATCCCTAAATGTCACTATTTTCTTAATCTTAATGGTCCCAAACCCATTCCCAAATGTGGTATGAGAGTCCTGACCACTTTTTACTACTGGAAATGGAAATGGTTAGTATGAAGCCCATACACTATCCACTAATTTCAGCCTTTCAGGTACCTATGTTTTTAACAAATAAACCAGAATTATTTGCTGTCCACTGAGACTAACAAATTATACTTTTTTTGCACTTCCCCCCAGATTTTTTATTCTTTTTTATATTGTTTATATCTTGTTGATTGATTTGTTAACTAGTTCCATTTCTTCCACTGATTTCTGCAGGTGTATCTTGTGTATTTTTTTAAAATATAGGCATATGTATTCATTTGTACATTCTTTTTAAAACATTTCTTAATGCCTTATTATTTTGTCATGAGACTTTATTAAAAGAATAATTTATGAAATTAATGTCTGTTTATAATGGATTTTCATTGCATGTTTTACATGTACCAGGTTTACTTACATGTTAATATTTACACTTGCTGTGCTTTTCTACTAAGCCAACTGTGAAAATGATTTGAAGGTCATTTTTGTGTATACTCACGCATAGAAAAATACTTGGAGAAACGCACTCTAAAGTGACGTCACACTGAGACTAAAGAGACGTTAATAAAAATATGACAATATAGGGCAGCGAGAAATTCAAACATTGAGTATATTTTTGGTGCATTTAAACATGTAAAATGTCAATATAAGGAGTGTTTTTAAGTTTAGTGTGAATTATTGGTGTAAAAATCACACAGACTTGCAAGTAGGCATATTTTTTCATGAAGCGCTAGCACACTTCATGTAAGATGCTTTTGTGACAAGTCTGTGTGATTTAGACACCAATAACTCACTCAAAACTTAAAAACGTTCCTTGATTATGTACATACATTGTAAAAAGAGGAATCACATCATTGTAATTTAGGCTTTCAGAGAGAAAACAGGGAGAAAACAAACAATTTTGTTCAAATCAAGGCCCCTAGGTGGGTGTTAGGAGGAATGGGGGGGGGGGGGACACAGTATGGGATCAACTTTGTACGTATTGGAATACATAGGAATTTAAAAAAAGCTTATTCTCAAGACCAGTAGGGTCATGATAAGGGATATATTGAAATGCAAGCAGTCTCAGACAGGAGAGATCCCAGGTTGTTCAAATCCCCAAACCCCTGGGTCAGAGCCAAATTAGATCATTCTTTGAAAGGGAAATAATCATGGATTTTTGGTGCCCCTGTCTTGTCATTCTGTCATTGTCATAGTTTTCCTGACTTTTTAGGTCACTGAGCTGAAAGCTCAAGTGAGCTTTTCTAATCACCTGTTGTCTAGCTTCCCTTTGTCTGTAAACTTTTCTCATTTTCAACTTCACTGGGTTATATATATATATATATATATATATATATATATATATATATTTTTGTCCAAAGTTGGTACAAAGCATTTCTGGGTAAAGGGGATTCCAAATGATTAAAATGAAGGGCCAAGTCCTCTTCTGAGGGGAAATAATCAAGAAAAGGCAAAAAAGGATGAGATCATTAAAAAAATCTTCTCAAGAAACACTTGTCCAGAAGAACTGAAACTTATATGGAAGCTATCTAAGATAGTGAAGATTATAAGTTGTTCAAATCATGGCCCCAGGGTTAGGTGGGGCCACAATAGAAGATCAAAGTTTACATTGAAATGTATTGGAAAAAATATTTAATATTTTTCTTTTTAAGAACTATTGGGCCAGTAATGCTAAAACTTAAGTGGAACCTTCCTAAGGTAGTATAGATTCTTCAAAACATGGTCCTCAGAGGTAGGTAGGGGCTACAATAGAAGATCAAAGTTTAACATTGTAATGATTATGAAAAATCTGAAGAAGAACCACTGGACCAGAAAAAAAAACGAAATTAAGGTGAAAAAATACAGAGGTAGTGTAGAATGTAAATTATTCAGATTATGGTCCCTGGGGTAGAGTGGTGCCACAATAGGGAATCAAAATTTTACATTGAGATGTAGAGGAAATTTCTTTTAAAAAATCCCAAGAACTGCTGGGCCAGAAAACACTGATACTTATATGGAAGCGTTCTGAGATGGTGTTGATAGTAAATTGTTCAGATCATGGACCCTGAAGGAAGGATGGGGCTACAGTAGGGTTTATAATTGTAAGGAACAGTCTTTAAAATTCCTCTTGTCAAGAACAGCAAAGCCATGATGAACCATTTTAATGTTGAAACATACTGTGGTATGCAAAATTAATTTTGTAAAAATCGTGGCGCCTGCATTTAGGGTAGGGCCACAAAAGGTGATCAAGATATGATTTAGGAATACAACTTTATTGGGGAAGAATCTGATGCAGAACAGTAGGGCCAAACTGACTCAGGTGAGCATTGTGGACCATGGGCCTCTTGTTGCTATTCTTTTAGACAATGACATCATATATGGTATGCATTTAGTGTTAATTGACCCATTTGTATGAAAGTTGTAGCCCTTACACTAAATTTTTGATGATTTACTTTTTTTCCGGACTTTTTTGGCTGTGCTTGTAAATATTGAGTAGATCTGACAAAACATTGCATTGTTGTTATTGAGAAGAAATTATTCTACCGATTTTTTCTATATAGTCTTATTATAAATAACTTTTTTCTGCGGCTAA